ACAGAATGATTTAATTAAGTGATGGACTTCGGTAAATCCTTGGGGAAACTGGAAAATAGAAAGCTCAGCAGCTGAGCCTCTAGATCCAAGCATAAGTGCACAATGATTACCACCCATCCCAGTGGGTGCTGATTCAAAGCTGCTGGATTTTATCAGTATTTTGTTGCACAGCTCTTGAACTTGTAGGCCACTRTAGATTTTAAAGAAAGCTTTGAGGAAGAAAAAATTCAGCTCCAAAGCAAAAGCTCAAATCTCTGTTTACATCAGAGAAATGACAAGCAATTATAGTCATATCAAGGGTAACTCTGAATTTTTTCTSCTTCTCCTCTTAAGTATCATGTTTTAATCAAATCTTTGCTATGATGAATGTATTGATACTGGAGGGTCTGTTACAGATGTGGAGCAAAAAGCTTGAAAGGTTGAAAACCTTCCTAAAAGTACCGTTAAAATACGTCATACTGAAGGAGGAAAGGGAAGGTATAGACAGAATGGTTCTCCAAATTTATATATTTGGGAAAGAAAATAGGATTATCTCCTGGTGGTGAAAAGCAATGTTTCTCTGATAGTGAAAAGGCAGCATTTAAAAGGAAAACCAGCTTCCCCCGTGTTATTAAAAACTTCACAGTAAAATTTAAGGTAGAAWTTAATGTGATTGTCTACAGTTAGCTTTGATGAGACACTAAGCCAGGCAGTGCCTGGGTGGCAGAGCATCACAGAGGGGTGTCTGGCAGCCACTGGATGCTCAGTGTGGACCAGTATCTCTTCACACGGGCTTGGGATGTTGCTCCAATGGAAGCCATCACTCTTGGCAAAACGCTCAATAARCGGCTAAGTCTCAGCTTCAGCGTTTGCCCAAAACCAAGGTTTGCAAAAAATGAATCTATTGACTTTTGAGCATGTTTCTGAAAACCTGAACACCAGCATACTGCCCAGAAACATTTTGCAAGTTCTTTCAGTCCYCTCTGCTGCCCTGCTGGTTCCCTCCCCATGCCATTCTCAGGTTAAGGAATCATGCCTATTCATCCCTTGATGCAAACAAATCTCCCCTTGGTAATAGCAGGCACAAAATTCTTCCTGCATCCTTGGTATGGGGCGAGCGGCTGCACCTCACTGCCCTTGTCATAGTGTATGTTTGAACAACATAGTGACTGCTGCCAGGGCTGCTGTCACCTCGTCCTCCATGTCAGCCACCATTGGCCTGGGAGAGTCACACCAAACCCTGGCTTTGGGCTGGAAACATGTCGTTTGAGATGAAAACCAAATCCTTATAAATACATGATGAGTTGATGGGCAGGTTTTATAAAAGCTTTTCAGTCATCCCACTGCAAACCCGATGTTGCTTACCTGACCCAAACTTACAGGATTTTTTGGCCATAATTTAAAATAACCATTTCCTTGCTGAGAATAAGTGTTTGGGCTCCTGCACATGAGGTAGAGGCCACTGGTACTCGTGCCTGGTGTCTCCTGCRCCCAGGTGCCACTGACCCACACCTTGAATTGCTTTCTGCCTCACTCCAAAGTTAYCTGACCTGGACAATTCCTGCCTGCACACAGCCTGGGTCTCTCACAGCAAATCAGACAGCTTTTGCCCCAGGTGACACTGAGCTGTCTAGGGATGATTCTTACAGTGGTGGTGGGACCTGGTGTTATGGAAATGATGCTTGCCAGCCACAATAACTGGGTTCTGCCAGGTTTCTGCTGAATCAATAAGCTGAAAGAGATTCCTCTATAAAAGTACTTTTTATTAATAACATTACAGCCTGAGTTGAGCATCTCCCAAGAGGGTCCTTGAACAAAGAAATCYCTGGATGGCCTGCTAAAGCAGTACATGGACAAATAGTATCTTTCAAACAATCTTTGTGTATTTTGCTGGCAAGTAACAAATCCTTTCTTTTCATTGTACAAGTCTAGAATGTCCAGGTAATACAGTATCTTTCTAATTTTCTCTTAGTCACTTCAGCATGTGATCCTTGAAATAGTTGCAGATGTCAGAGGCAGCTGGATCCATAAATGCAGTTGCTACTATATTTAATTATAATAAATAATTAAATACTATTAAGATTCTGGAGAGTCATTCCCCTCTACCTCAACAGAACCTGTTACAATCTTTTCTAGTAGTCATTGTGTGTTACTCTGGTCTCTGTGTACATTCCTATACTTTAGTTCAATTTACTCATCTCCTCACAAGCTGTATCACACCTTGGCAATTATCTCTGTGTGATTATTACAATCCCAACCAGGATCAATCTGAGGCCCAACTTCCGCTTGTCAGCAGGGTCAGCTCCACGTGTTTTTTAAGATTGTTTTATCTTGCTCATGTGGATGGAACAACTTCTTCAGCAGCAGGCCAACACTGGCCCAGGACAGGTCATACTCAGAACGAATAATATAAAATAATAAGGCACATTGACCTGCATTTTCCCTTAACCTAGGAATCTGATTTCCTCACATAACCAAATCCCCAGGATTCGAGGGTAGATGGAATGTCAGTACCACACACACACACACAGAGTTGCCATGCACCTCATTCTTTCTCACAAGCCAGGGCTCCAGCCCTGTGCCCTTGCAAGACATATGCCCAAAAGGGCAGCAGTGGAAAGCTGCCTTCCTTGAGTTTTGGGAGCAAAAATATGACAGGCCTGAAGAATTGCTGCGTGAGGACAGAACGGGAGTGAGGATCTTGTTCCAAGATGCACAGCTAACAAGGAGAGAACCCATCAGGGTTGAGTGTCCTGTTTCTCTAAGTGAGGAGATTTATGCTGCACCCCTGGTCACATATCAGTGTCCCTCAATGCTTGGGGCATCCAGTGGAAACACTTTTTGTGACCTCAGATATTACAAAATAAGTCACACAAATCTTTGCACACATTATGGTGGAGCTAACTTTCTTTAAAAATGAGTTTTATTCCCCAGAAATTTGGCTGTCAAGGTTTGSGATAGGATGGTACAGCAAGACTGTTCTGGTTTGTCAGTAATATGTAACCTGATTGAATTTTGCCAGAGGGAACATGTTCATACTTGCCTGCATGTTTCAAACCAGCATTGTCATTGTGCGGGTATTTAACCCCTAGTGGCTTTGCTATTGAGAACTAGTGAAGTATGGCATACAAACATTTGGATWAAAAAATATACCCTCACCTGAGTGCAGCTGGACGCAGCAGCACGATGCCAGTGGGCCACAGATGGGGATGTGCGTTATGTCATCCATAATATAGAGAGAGACTGTAGCATCCCAATTCTGGATGTGTGTAGCTTATAGATGCTGCAGGGCATGCATATAACAGCTGAAGCTTTGAAGGTATTGATTTACATTCCTGCCACTGCTACTGCAACGTGACAGCAGGAATCTGAGACACCCTGTTTAACAATTGACTAGATATGCCACAGCCCACAATACATATTTATCTGCCACCTCCAAGTGGCATTTACTTTGAAAAGAAAGGTATCCTGGACTCACAGAATGGTTTGTGTTGGAATGGACCTTAAAGACCACATAGTTCCAAACTCTCTGCTAGAGGCAGTTACACCATCTACTAGACCAGGTTGCTCAAACGCTCATTCAGCCTGAGCTTGAACACTTCCAGAGGTGGGGTATCCACAGCTTCTCTGGGCAACTTGTTCCAGTACCTCACTACCCTCACCTATGCCTGTTTTTTCTAGGGTAGGTTCCTTATTAATTCTCTATACTTAAGGCAGATTGCCTTGACCAAAAGTTGCTGATTCTGGTGTTTGTGTTATTTCTGGTTTGGTTTCCTGGTGGGTGGTGGCAGGGGGTGTTTTACAGCCAAGGTGTGGGTCCAAGCGGTGCAGAAGCCCCAGAGCTGCCAAGCAGTAAGGTGCCTTTGTGATGGCTGCTCTGCAGCTGTTCACTGGGACCCAGCTCAARTGGCTGCTGGTGGTTCAGACAATGTGTTGTATTTTAGATTTGAGTAATAAATGTTTCRTTTCCATTTCACTAGCTCTTTGAATTTATGAACCTTGTTTCTTGAGTCTCCTGGTACTTCAATGGATCAAAACAACCACAATCTACTCACCCTTCCATCCAGGTTGTAGCATGAGCATCTGTCACCATTACAGCCTAAACAGTGACTGCACAGCATTTACCTCACTATCCAGTCAATGGCATCCATGGCTTTATTCTCCCTTGACCATGAAATTATGTCTCTCCAGATGAAGAAAAGAGAGCATAGATTACTGCCCCAGAAATATGGTTTAAATTACAGAGACGCAGTCTTCAGACTTGGGACACATACAGTTTTGCAAATGTTTTTTAATTTGGGAATCTCAATGAGCAAAGGAATATTTTGCTTCAAAGAAGTAAAGGAGAGAAGAGAAAATAAGAAAATACGTTGTTTTATTTTTACTTGTATTTCTCTGTTAGCAATTCTCCCTAACTTGGTTGTCTATTAAAAAAAAAAAAAAAAAAAAGGAATAGAATCATTATCATTTCCCAAAGTTTCTTCAGAAACAAGAAAAACTACAAGCTGTAAAATACTTCAAATTGGATATGAATAAGTGGGAAATTTATGGAGTTCTTCATTATTGTTGCTTGTACATTTACTCAAATGCTGTAATTATAATTTGTCTCGGATCCTAAATAGGCCCAGAAAGTGAGAAACAAAGCCCATCTCCTCTGATGCATGTTTTCAGAAGTGTCCAAGAATTCACCAAACTCAATTTTCAGTCAGAAGAGGCCAGTTGCCTAAAATGTTATGTACAATTGTCTTATGAAAGTGAAAATAGTCTGTGGAATCTAATCTAACTCAGCCTGATGAGTACATATGGGATATTTTTATATTTTACATGTATTTTATACACACACACACACACACACACACACATATATATCTTTAGATATGTATGTAGATATGTATTATGTAAGCATATACATAATAACTTTTTTTTATATTTCTGTAACTTGCTTGTACGTATGAGTACACGTATATAGTGAAGTACTGTTATTTGGTTGATAGGACTAACACTTTTTCTATCTCCTTTAGTGACTGCCACATGAGTTCCTCAAGGATAATGGACCCTAAGATGAGAGAGGCTGAGGGAGATGGAGAGGACAATTCAGGTAGAATTGCTGCCTTCCCCTGTGAATGAAAAGTTCCTTGACTTCTTGAGCTTCTATGCCTTAGCTCTATCATAGAAGTGCATTTGCTTGTTTAGGAAATGCATTYTGCCTTTCTCTTCACATGTTTCAAAGAGCTATTTTATGTTTTCAGCATTWTCAGAGGCTTGAAATAAGATTTTTGTAGCATCTTGTGACCAAGCTAACTTTTTTACCCAGCAGGATCCAAGAGTAATTGAAATACTGACAGGGATGCCTCACAGGGCTGTCATGCCAACTTAAACAGGACAGGCACAAGTTCTTAGAATTCTTGTGCAAAACACTGATTTAATTTTAAATAGTTTTCTTCACGGAGCTTGCAACTGATCCTGATATAGGYTTTTCCTCACTGAGCAGACTAGAATTGCTTTTCAAGGTTATTGCCTGATTCGTAAATGAATACTTTGTAATCCATTGAATCTTGTAATTAGTATTCAAAATATTTTTGATGTATTACAAACCCAACRTTTTAAAAGCATTAGCCTCCTGACACTGTGCATTCACCTGCGTATGCCTTTTCTACATTTAAATTGGTTTTGGCAGCATTGCTCTTATCATCACTCTTTAGCTGGCTGAACAAAAGCAGTGCRTTTCCAAGTAATAATTTTTTTCATATCCCAGGCAGTTAAGACCAAACTTTTCCTTCACAGTTTAATTACCCTCAAAAGACAAAACTCAGTTAAGAATGATTCTACTATTTTTTTCTTGCGTCTCATAAACATTGCAATTCATTCTCTAAGATAACAGTAATTTCATACTATCAGTATAGTCTTGAAAGACATTAATACAAGAGTGGACTGTGTTGCATTTTCCAGGAAAAAAAACCCCACTTTTGCAAAAAAAAAAAAAGAAAGAAAGAAATCGTTATTGTTCAAAAATTTGCACATGCTGCTGGTTGCATCTTCTTTATGTTTCTTCACATAGGAAAGAAAAAATCAAAGTTCAAATCCTTCAAAAAGTTTTTTGGTAAAAAGAAAAGGAAAGAGACATCATCTTCTGTGAGCAGCAGCCTGAAGTTGTGCCAATCAACAAGTGATGTTGCAGCCTCTCATGACACACACATTAGTTATGATTCTGAAGATGAACTTGAGTAAGTCTTTGGACTCTGGCTGGTGAACAAATACAAAACTATTAGTGTTTGTAGATTAAAGACACACCAAAATTGCTTGCTCCCCTCATTTATAATCCTGTATTTTCAAACAGTTGCTTTATCCRGGAAAGTATGAAATTAAAATGGCTGATGCAAGACAAATCAGAAGGGAATTGGATGGGGTGCAACAAGAAATATTAACAAAAAAAGCTTTAATTTAATCATAAATAAGCCTTGGGTTATMATTTCAAAAGAATGTAATTCCCATCTTCAAAAATAAATTAGATACTCAGCTTATATCCTACCAGGATTGTCTTATTCCCCAAAAATAACTCCTAAGGATTGTTACGTAAATTTAGATGCCTGACCATTTATGCCAGGTTTTGAAAGCAAGGAGGAATAATGGGATGACTGCAACTGAAATCAGCAGGATCCAGAGGCTCTGAAGCAGTTTTTCCTCTGTATACTTGGAATTCTGACCTAAGGACAAATATCTGCATCTGAGTTATACAACCACAGATTCATAGAATGGTTGCAGTTGGAAGGATCTTTAGAGATCATCCATTACAACCTTCTACTTTAGTCAGGCATAGTTAGTTACCAGCTGCCTTCTATAATCCGAGAGAAGTCAGCATTACTAACAAAGCTTGTATCATCCTTATGTATGAAATAACCTCTGGATGTGCCTGTRTCTTCCCACTGAGTGCAAACAGGAGCCTGGGATAACCAACTCCAATGTAAATAGCTGTGATYTGATGTCTGAAGTTAGACCAGATGAGTCCCATCCTGTGTATCTATTTGCCTCTGAAAACCCTGTCTCCACTGAGACATTGCAARAACATTATGCATTATATGAAAGGTTACCATGAGAGACCTGGTGTAAACATTCAGATATGTCTCTGTATGGACAGACGGACTGAAGAGCCCCTTGGCTAACTAAAAAGCCAGTCCTTGCACTGGTGGATGTTGTGCCTTTCAGATCTTGCCCTCCTGGTCCTCARGCGAGAGGGGCTGTTATGCCCAGGAATGGGAAAGGGAACCATCCCGGCCATTTAAACCGACATTATTCATTGCGGCCACCAGGCAGCGCCAAACAACCAAAAGAAATTATTTACAAATCATTTTTTTTTTTTGCTTTGGTGTTTTGTTTTGGTTGTTTTTTTCATTATTATTATTTTTTTTCCCTCTCATGGCATTGGTAACAGTAATGTTAGTCTAGCTTGAAGCCCTAGGAGTTCTGGGCTGGCAGCACCAGGTGGTGTGTAATGTTGTTCGAAAACTTATTTACAAGATGTGGATGGCTAGATTTTCTTTCCTCCATGTACGGCTCAACAAGGTCATGTCTGAGTGGGTGCCATCTCTGGCTGTTCTGGCCATATTCCTGTGTTGTAATTGGAAGGGTTGTTACATCAATGTTCCTTAATATTTATTTAGACAGAGAGCAGGAAATTCTTTGAAAGGGAGAAAAATTAATTTGAACACTCTAAATCTGAGGAGATATGTGGGGTACCACCATTATGTGTCTGGGAGGGATGCATCTGCTAGAATGAGGAAATGAGGATGGAATGCYGGGATAAATGTGTGCGTGCAACAGCACTGCCCCGGTGGCTGCCACCCTTGTTAAATGTTGGTGTGTTGGGCACCACTGCAGCCCTGACTGGCACCTACTCCACAAATTGCTATAGATGTGTCTGACCTTGGATACATGGCAGAGATCACATTTTCACTTAGGTAAATTGTTCTTCTAATATCTCTAATGCATTAAGCAGAAGTGGCAGGCTTTCCTTCCTTCTGCAGCAAGAATGCAGATCAACTCTTTCCTGCTATTGTTTTATCAAATATATTTATAGCAGCCATTATGAGGAAAATGTTACTTTCTGCCATGTTTGTTTATGTTTGTCCTCAATGTCCCTATGACAGCAACTAGGAAACCCAGAAATCCAGTTCTTTTTTCTTTTCTGCTCAATTAACTTGATAGTTACATGAATTCAAACAATTCTGTATTCTGCTCACTTGATTGCCATTTCCTATCTCCCTGATTAAAAAAAAAAAAAAATTAAAAGGTACTCTTACCAAAAATGCTGTGTGCACACATTTCTCATCCCTGCTCAGTTAGGGTATGAGCTAAGCTGAGGAAAATGAGCACAAGAAACCTCCCAGCAGCTAGCTGTCTGTCTGTGGGCCTCCTCTACCATTCCCATAAGGAAACAAGGTTCTCATATCCCACATKCACCATTTGCAAAAGAAGTTACATAACATATGCATCAAAAGTAGGAAGCAGAATATGACAGAAACTGCCCACAAAGCATCTCCCACTTCCTCTAACTAGACCACAAAGATTGTCCATGAAAAAATGTGTCCCACAGGCTCGTAAGAGAAAATCTGAGGGATCTTGATATAAAGCACAGCACCTTTTAAGGATTTATGCATATGATTCCATGCAAGGACTACATTACCTGAAAAGTTTTTGCTAATGATCTGTATGGCAGAGATACATTATATGCTGTACCACATTTAGATAGTAAAATGTACTTGTTCTTCCCATAGTAATGGTCAGTTATTTGCAAGACATGTTCTTACATTAGGAAGAAGTCTCAGTACAGGCTCTTTTATGTGAACTCCCTTTATTTTGCACCTGGGCTTGCCTGTGGCACTGTGACACCACTCAGATGCTGGCTGCCACCCAAAGGGCAGTAGCTTTTTCCATAAGATGTAATTAATTTTCTGGGGTTAAACTGTCTTTAACCATGATTCAGTTTGTTACCATGACATATAAGAGCATTTAAAAAAATGGGTTGTTACTTAGATTACCCTGAATGACTGTATTGTATTCATGGAGAAATCTGGAATATTGTTTGTCATGTATGCTGTGCACATCTATCTCCCATTCCACATTCAATAGACCACTTGAGTTAAGATAAATGGCAAAAAATTTGTATGTTTTCACTCATTTATTATATTATTCTAGGACACATAAAGGCATTATGGGAAGCAGAGCTTTRTCACATGATAGCATTTTCATCCTTGAGACTGGGCAAGAGCCTGCAAGGCCAGTAAGAGTGTTTTCTCAAGAAAACATTTCTGATCGGATTAGAGCTTTACAGGTAATTTAATTTTTTTTTTTCAAATGCAAGGGATGGAATGTCTTTCCAGGCTTGATTTCTTTTGGGTAGTGTTTGTGGTTGAACATTTGATTAGTAATTTGTAATATCTGTCTGCAGCTTACATTAAATGTTGCATTTGTTAATTAGACAGGAGTATCCTGTCTTGGTTCGACTAAAATGATAGCAGAAAAACGGGTAGTTTATTTGGCTGCTTAAGAGAACATGTAAAATCAGATGTCCTGCGCCCTGAATCATTCAGTTGTGAAGTTAAAATAATGGTAACTCATTGACCTGAGCTARAAAATGGTCTGGGGAAACCTCCATCACTATCATGCTAATGTATTTTATACCATGCTGAAGATGAAACTCCAGCCTACCATGAAATTGGGACCTCCACCTCCATTTGGACTTCATGCAAAGCGAACAGAGGATGCTGGGACCAGTTCTGAAGATGATGGATTACCCAGGAGCCCTCCAGAAATGTCTTTGCTTCATGAAAGCCTAAACTCAGGCATGAGAACAAGAGTGAGTAGTTCCAGTATTGAAAAAAAACAAGTGTTTAATAATTGTTTTACTTATATGTGGAAGGCAGAATAAATTATTTGGTTTATGTATCACTATTTTACATCTGAACAATTCAGAAATACCTTACTCAAATTGGGAAAATGCTCTCTCTCTCTGTGTAAACAGCTACTTAGAACCTCGGTTCCTGCTACAGTATAAATATCACACCAGAAAATGCAGAACTAGGAAGACGAGTATGTGTTTGTGTGTATGCATGGTAATGCTGTGTTTTTTATAGAGACTACAGAGAGCTGACAGGCATTAAAAAAAATAAGGCTGAAAAATCTGTATTCCCCCTTGAGTATCTTAAGTGATAAGAGAGCTCTCTAATGTTCTTCTAGGTTGTCACTGGGAAAAGAAAYATAAAATAATCTGAAAGTGGATTTTTTAATGATAGTTTTKTTAGACATTATTTCATTCTTTATCTGCACGTCTTACACTTTATGTTTGCAGTGTCCTTGCTAATCCTTGACTATAGAGAAAAACAACTTACATTGTCAGTACCTTTGCGCACTTTGTGTAGATGGTTTCTGCGATTATATCCACCTTGTTTGTCATCTTTTACTGAATCTCTTCCTCATTCCATCCCACAGTTCTCTGACTCTCACAAGCACCTTAGCTCTTTGAGTTTAGCTGGAACAGGCAGTGAAGAAGAAGAACAGGTAACTTCTGCCAAATGTATTAAGGGATGAGCAATTATCCATAGTAGTTTTTAAAAGAAATATAAGAAATATTATTTTGTTGCCTGTCTTCTGCACAAAACAACTTCATATGTATGTAATTGCATGCCTGTGTGTTTGCTGTTTTAATGCCTGTCGGTCTAACATAAAAATTATGATTGCTTATCAATACAATTCTGATGCAAAGTACTCTCCCATTCATGATAATTAAGGTAACAGAAACTATCATATAAGGTAACTAGAAAATATCATATCCTTTAACAAGCTTTATGGACATGATGTAATCTCCAAGCACAACCAACCAGATTTAGTCACTGACAGTGTCTTTTTTTTAAAAAAGATGGGAAGGTGCTATAAAGGCTGTTTGAGTTGCATGCATAGGATAAGGGAGAAAGMTTCTTGAAGAGAAATCTGAAATCTGCCTGTGCTCTGGTTTAAGTGCAAAGTTACCTCACACTGACACAGAAAGTGTTTGCCTAATGACGTGGCTGACATCACTGCTTAGGAGTCTGAGTTCAGCCTTCAGTCGGATTCTGGCTGTGAATGTTGCTGAAATGATGTTTTTCAGAGCTTGAATATAGGCACATGGATGGCTTTCTTCAATCAGCAGCCAGCCGTTCTGGCTGATTAAAGGGCTGTTTTGAAAAGTTCTGAAGAGTCCCTTTTAGCTGTCCGCAGCTGGAGTCGTGGTGGAAACAACACAGGGGGTAGAGGAAAAAGCAGTTCCTAGAAATAGGAGGAGGGGTGGGGGGAATTGCAGAAATGAAATAGAGAAACTAGTCCTGAGCTGACCATTTCTTGGTAATTATGCAAAACACATTTCAAGACCAGCTGCACTAGGGCTCAGCAAAGATTTCTGGCCRTCTTAGATTCCACATGAAGCTGTTTGAAAAAACTGCTTATATGCAGTGCAATTTTAATACTTGAAAGCTGGCATGGGCTCACTGTAATTGTGTCCAGTCCAGATCCATGTTTGCTAAAAGAGAATTTATGTCTCCCTGTTGTTCTATTAACATTACTTTCTGACTCACTTGCTGCCTTCTGAGTCGTGGTGGTGACTACACAGTTGCTTAGCTTTTTCCACATGCTCCATTATTTATCTCAGAGTTCTCTTCATCCCGTGCCAGTTTGAGAGTGCAGCCAGAATGTAGCTCCATCTGAAGGTTTCCTCCCAAACCACAGGATCCACTACCTGGCATTTCAGAGAGATTAGCCCTGCTTCTAGAAATCAGAGGAGACAGGTCACAGGGCTGAGGAATTTTGCACAACACAACCCTGAGGTTTTGGGCAGCAGTGACACCTTGCTGCATCTTGGGAGCTTTCCTGGACTGAAGAAAGGAATCACAACTGTCCTGTCTGGACTTTAGGGATGGGGTTTCCTCATTGCCCTCCACCTTGTGCCACCCAGCATGGCCAGCTGAAGGACAACTGAGCCATGTGCACATGGCATTTAGAGAAAGGGGTCTGCCAGCTGTTTCCTTCTCCAGTAGGCTTYGTCAAAACCAGACTTCATGGGACAAACAACTTCTGCAGCTGGCTCAGAGCTGGCATTCACTCAGGCTGCTGAAACTTAAGTAAGAAACCAGATTTTGTATTTTCCAGAGTAATGGCCAACACAGAGCACTGCCAACGAGAAGACAAGCAAAGTTCTCGAGGAAAAGTAGGAGCCAGAAGAAAGGCAGGCAAATAATGWCGTGCCTTGAAAGAGAATAAGTGCTGTGTCATTATCATGGAGCTGAAATGTCAATGTATTCACTGTTAGGTGCTAATGTRTAATGCAGACACCTATCGTTTGTTGTACATTAGTCATGTTTGACTACTAGACTGCAGATATTGTAGAGTTAAAATTAATGAGGGCATCCATTATTCAGCATGTCTGAGCTACCTTCTTTYTCTTAAGTAGAAGGTACGATTAGAAGGTGTGGATCCAGCCTCTGCTAAAATCAATGGGAGTTCTACCCTGGCCATTGAGGAAGCTATAGCAGGCCCTCACTACACTACAGTGTACCTTTTGGCTGCACTGCAGATTGCAGAATTCTAATTGCAGAAAATGCCAATGCTTTTTCCCTCTCCCAAAATAAAATGAACACCAACCAGCATTCTGCTTCTCCCATCCAACCTCACTTCCAGAAAAAAAAAAAATAAAAAAAGAAGAAGAATGCCCACAGAAGAAAGAAAGAAAGAAAGAAAGAGAGAAAGAAAGAAAGAAAGAAAGAAAGAAAGAAAGAAAGAAAGAAAGAAAGAAAGAAAGAAAGAAAGAAAGAGAAAGAAAGAAAGAAAGAAAGAAAGAAAGAAAGAAAAAGAAAGAAAGAAAGAAAGAAAGAAAGAAAGAAAGAAAGAAAAAAAGAAAAAAAGAAAGAAAGAAAGAAAGAAAGAAAGAAAGNAAAGAAAGAAAGAAAGAAAGAAAGAAAGAAAGAAAGAAAGAAAGAAAGAAAGAAAGAAAGAAAGAAAGAAAGAAAGAAAGAAAGAAAGAAAGAAAAGAAAGAGAGAAAGAAAAGAAAGAGAGAAAGAAAGAAAGAATTACAAAGGAGGAAATCTCCTCCAAAGAAATGAACTGGAATTTGAAGCCTATCAAGGGAGCACTGTTAAGAGTTGTCAGAGGTCATGTTAACGCTTGACAAATAGTTTGGAAATAACATTTTGCCTATTTGCTAAACTGAATCCAAGAGAAAGGAGGAACTTTTCTAAGAGTCATTTTTAATAAATTTTTCAATGTCCTTTTTGCATCATTCCTGGGACTAGGGTAGTTTTTGGTGAAGCTCAYAGGTAAGCTGAATTCCAGCTTCCTTAGAGTACTACACCCCTTGCAGCATTCAGGACCTGTTTCTGGATGGGTTATTGGCCTCTAGTAGGAATTATCCATCACTTCTTTCCCCAGAATAATCTACTAATGAAATGTTACATTTCCATTAAATGCAGACATAAATTCATGAGGTAAAAACATAAGCTTACTTAAGTGTCAATGCCACTAATACTTGATTCTTTTCTCTTTAGGAAAGTATTGTAGAGTTGGAAGGGACCTGTTGACATATAGGAAGTTAAAGATGCTCAGCACAAAACAGCTGTGGGTAGGAGTCTAGACAAAGATGCTGGAGGACAGAACCAGAAAGGAAAATGGCTCTTTAGGTTCTGTAACTGACTGTTCTTTATAAGTCTGTCTTTTAAATTATGSTGGCCATGTATTTGTGTATTTTAGGTCTTCCAGATAGATGTGATTTGCTCCTGTCCACTGSACTGTATATCATGATATTCAAGCAGCTAAAAATGCAGAATTGCTAACACCAGCACATAAAAGAAATCAAAATTCTAATAAACATGGCTTCTAGAATTGTTATTTTCATGTCTTTCTTTTTCTGTTTGATTCTCMATTTGGGGATTTTTATTTTATTTTYCAGATTACATTGAGTTCTTCTAGATCTCGCTCTACAGATGGTCATCTGTTCACCAGGCATGGAAGTACCMAAACAGAATCGCCCCGAACATCTGAGAGCACCATTTCCCCTACAGCCAATTTTGACACTCCACCTGAACTTTCTGCTTTCTTGGATAATTCAGCTGCTAAACATAAGCTTTTAGTAAAACCCCGGAAGCAGAGATCCAGTAGAAYGAGAAATTTTTCTCAGGTATGTGTGAAAATAAAGATTCACTTYTGTTACAAACCCAGGAAGTTCTTGYTGGACTTTGTACTGCAAACTCAGATATGATAAAGTCAGTTTGCAGCATGGATATTCCATTGGGTTTTAACAGCTGTTATCTGATCCGTATCTGAAGTAGMCCCTAGGAGTGGATTAAATAATATGAGTTTACCTGTTAGCTCTTGATACAGCTGTTTACATAACTATTTCTTCTTAAATTCACCAATTTAATGTCCTGTTTGTGATGCAGAAATTGGACTGACTGCTTCATTTCTTACTTAAAAGATGTTTTTCAAGTGTTATGATAAACTTGCGTGCTTTTCCTAGTCTGGAATACCTTGTAAAATCTTGAGTTTTTGGGAGACTATTCATGGAGGAGCTGTTTTAAATTCCAAGGTATAAATAAACTTATATTTTCAAAAAGTGCAGAAAGAGTAAGTTTTTGGCCTATTAATTGGAGCCAAATGCTGTACATTGGGACTGTTCTAAATTCACACCTCTTCCAGCCCCAAAACTTGTAAATCCTTTGCATGCTCTACAGAGGTTTAAAATAAGTCTTAACAGAAACTCCCTCCCTGGCAAAATCAAAATGAAAGTGTATTATTGTTAAAAGGCTATTAACAAGTGCATACTATTAAAAAAAAAAACAAACCATTTAAAAAAAAAAAAATCCTTTAAAAATCCATTTATCTGATTCTTTGTCAAATCTTATGAAGGGCATAGCTTAGCTTTTATTCTTTCTTTCATTCCTTCCTCTCTTTTAGCACTAAAGTTTTCAGCATTTACTACAGTATTTTTATCTTATTGTTCGGGGCTTTTTTCCAATACAGTAAAACCATTAATTTGTCTTGCTTATTACCAGAAATATGATTGCCTCTGTCTCAAAATAGTTCTCAGCTGATATTCTGTAATTCCCCAATCTGTGAGTGACCTTTCAGYTCAGTAGAGCACCACTGTGAACAGCACAGTGATGAGGCCAGTTATTTAGAAAAACATGTAAAGCAATAATTCACTGATCAATCCTCCTCTTCCATTCTAACCTTGTTACTGAAATACGATTGCTTTGTCCAGGCTGCCTGTAAACTGCCAGCTGACTTAGCCCTTCTGAATTCCTACAGAGAKTGTTCACATATTTTGATAATACAATTTTTTGTATTTTTTTTTACCTGACTCTGCCTGTGCACCTTGCTTCTGGCTAACTGATATATTTTGCTTTTATGTTCCTGTGTAAATGGATTATGAATGCAGGTGGCATTGCAGCTCTGGGTTTGTTTTTTTTTTTTTTTTGCCATTGCATTTGCAAAACAAGAATTGCAAAAACCCTAAAATATCTTCAAAGTGAAGGTTTTGTGTTATTAGAATTAGGGCCTTCATCCAAAATATATATTTACCTAGCAAACTACGGTGAAACAGTGAGCTAATGCAGTCTCCAAATGAAAAGGCATATTCAGCAACTCAGTACTGTGCTTTCAAATAATCCTGTGTATTTAGCCTCACACCAAGTTTAGTTCCAAGACCTCACAGGTAACTTATGAATTTATAAACTTTTTAACTACATATGAATTTAGAAACTTTCATCAAATRGTTTAACTCCTGAAAGAAAAAGAAGACTTTTACACAAAGGAGGCAAGGCTGCAATGCTGTGTAACGGTGGGATTAGACACAAGACTGCCATACAGGGCAGATACTCRGCTGGAATGGAGTGTCAAAACTGGCTGGATTTGTTAGGCTTTTGCTCTTCCTTCCATGTACCCTTCCCTCTTCAGAGTAATGCTTTAGGGAGAATGAGTTGTTTTATTTTTAATGCTTGTGTGGAGTAGCAAAACACAAAGGGACATATTTTTCTCTTTCAAATGCTGCTTTTTGCCTAAGAGCAGCACAACGTAGGCAGTATGCTCTGGAGAATCAATTGCCAAGGACAGTCCAATGGCCATTGTTCTGCTRAACTTCCCATCTACAAAGGCATGAAAGCACTAGTTGTGCAGAAGGGAATGTCACTCATTGCTTTTATATTGGTTAAATGCATTATTCTGGGATCTACTTAATTAAGAAAGCATCCAATCTGTAGGTTGAATAAACTGCTAGCTCAGCATTGGAGACAAGTATTGTCTTCCTCTCTAAGATCTCAGTTGTAAATGTAATGATGAATAAGAAAAAAAAAATGAAGCACATGGTGATGGGACTTTCTGAATTTCTTTCTTACAGAGGACCCAGTCTGAATCTCTGACTGATTTGAGCTGTACCCCAGAGGAAGAAGAAGAGGATGATGCTGTATTCAAACCCAGCAATCAAGAACTGCCATGCAGCACAGCTGTAATGCAGAATGTGGCTTCCCAGCCAAAGCCCAGAACGCCTGAGGACCATCCCCCTGCTTTGAGAGCAGTGATGACTCAGCCTGCTTCTGAGTCTGCTGTTGTACAGGAAGCCCTGCTACCAGAGAATAAGCCAGAGGACTGCCAGCCAACACTGGAAATGACATSTGAGGAGTCTGAGTCCTCCTTGCTGACAGAAGGCAAAGACTTTGCAACTTCTTCCTACTCCAGCTCAGACAGAGAARTACAAAAACAAGAAGATTCTTCAGAAACACAGGTTCTGTTGTCTGGGGATGTGTCAATTAATACTTTAAATCAAGAAAATAAGGAGCTTCCTCCTGTTTTTCCAGTAAATAAATTACCATCTGAAGAAAATATTTCAGTCAGTGACAATAGTATTGTTTGCTTGAAAAGGTCAGAAGAAAATAAGCAGAAGGATGATCAGGTAGCTGTGGAAGTGCCCTGTAAAAAAGGGGCAAAGAAAGAGTTTGCTCTATTGTCAGAGTCCAGCAAGGAGTTTTTCATGGGTTCTTCCCAGCCCACAGACTCATTCCATGTTTTACATCCTGCTTCCCCAGGGCAGATGGGAACATCTACTTTTTGCTCTCTAGAGAAAATACAGACTGCACAGGAGGCAGCTGCTTCTGATAAGGRGAATAGTCAGTCACTGCTCCACAAGGAGGAGCAACGGGGGAAGGAGGCTGAAAAAGCAGTCAATGAACTCAATGCCTTCAGAAAGTTTTCTGTTTCCTCTGCACGGGAGAGACCAAGCACCAGAAGCCTACATTTCCCAGAAAGATCAGAGCTGGAAAGCCCATTAAATTCGGGATTCTTCCTGTCCAAAGCAAAGGTCTCCCTAAGAAATGAGAAGTGGCAAGAAGATTTTCAGAAGGGATCAGATCTGGATGAGGAAAAAAGTRGCAAGAAAAAGCAGACTTTGATGCCAGAGTCCTACACTGAGAACACAGGCCAGCCTTCAGAAATCTTGKCTGGTTGTGTTTCTCCAGCTGTTGATGCAGTACCAACGCCAAGCAATYCTTTGGTGGTATCTCAGAATCAACCAGTTTCTAAAGACAGAAGTCCTTTTCAAGTGAAACTTAGATCCACCTCACTGTCCTTGAAATATGGAGACAACTCTCCACCAGAATCAAAAGGGATTAAAAGATATAGTGCAGAATTTAATTTAGAAAATGAGGGATTTACTTCCTTTCTAAAAGGTGATAAGGCAGAGTTCAGAAAAACAGCCAATACAAATATTGGTGATTCTTTAAATGAAAAGATCAAACCCAAAGCAAAGTCCTCAGAACAGCTTAGTAGCAAACCTCCTTTGCCTAAAAAGCCAGTGTTGCAAAACATAACTATTCCAAACACTACTGCAAGCAAGGAGAAGCAGGACAAAGCTGTTCACTCTCCTGAATCCAGAAGTGAAGACAGAGACCTGGAGAAACAGTCCACTGTTTGTAAAGTGCCTGGTAAGTCACCCAAAACTTTATAAAAGTTACCTTCACTTGCAAAGAGTGACCTTACCCATGAGACAGTGTGAGGCAGCACTGTGGTGTCCATCTGGTGAGCATGAGCTGATGGCTCTGCCTTCACTGATGTTGCTCCCTTATTTTCCCTTTCTGAAAAGATTATCAGAAAGACAGCAGGGAAGAAATAGCAGTCAGAATAAGATATTTTAACCTCTGATTTTTGAACTTCGGGGCATTGTTTAAAGGATGTTCAAAGCGACACTCAAAAAATAAAGTACATTAGCAACTATTGGAAAACAGAAATATCAAGCCACTAAGTGTCCCCATTTAGAGCTGCTGCAAGGCAATTCAAAAGCCAAGAGAACATATTAAGTGTAGTGCCTTATGTGGGACAAGTGACTCAGAACCCTAGACCTTCATTTTCACCATTGTATTGAGGCAGAAATGCAGTGAGGCCTGTCACTGCCTGCCATGGTAAACACACCATTTATTTATTGCCTTCTGTGAGCTTTTCTTATTAATTTATCCATCTTTATCATTACTCATTCTTTATTTAAAATAAAAATTAACCCTGCAGCTTTTTGGAGTTTAAAGCCAGGAGAGATCATAGGATCATGTCTACTGCAGATTGCTAAATTTCACCTGGTTGTCTGTATTACATAATTGGGTTAGACCTTTGGAGACTAATATATTGTGGGCTACAGGCAGAAAACAGAAGAGACTGGAAGTGGCACCATTGTCTGAGGTCTTTGCATAACAGTAAACAAGTTAGGTGAAGCATGCTGAAGCRATTCTATCAGGAGACCTCTGCTCTTCGCTTCAGAGAACAGCCAAGAGGGGAAAAAAAAAAACCTTTAGGTCTTCTGATACGTGGAAGAAAAGCCTCCCCTGTCTTGGACCTGTCTGGGCAYGGGTTTGATGTTAAGAATGAGAGAAGATGCTGGCCAAGCAAATTATAAGGTTTCTCTGTGCCACTGCAGAGCTTTCCCCCATCTGATTCTGACRATGACCCCAATCTTCTCTGACTGGGGTCAGTCTCTGAGCTCTGGAGTGGGGAAACAYCAAGCCAGAAGAAGATCTCAGGGCACAGGAGGTCACCTGTCCTCCAGGGGCCCCAGAGGCAACTTGCTGGAAGTGCAGAGGGGAAAATGTCTTTAAAAGGACCTGGTTCATTATTTGTAATGATGCCCAAATCTCTGATGGATTGAGATTTTGGAGAGGGTCATACTGGGACAAGAAAGGAGGAGAGCTAGCATAGTAGGGTTGTTCTGGCAGGATACTGAGGAAAGCAGTGGGAGTGCCAGTGCTCCTGAACACAGCCCTTTATCACATCCCTCTTACCAAGTCCCAGAGTGCCTGCAGATGGAGTTGGGTGAAGGACAATGAGTGGTGGAGAAGGAAGAAGGGGAAGAAATGAAGCCAGGGAGCACATCTCTCCTCCAGGCTTTTCCTGTGGCWCCTCAGCCCGTGGGGTGAAGGAGACTCCTGCTCTGTGATGCAGGACTRCCCTCTGCAAAACAGGATCTGTGGGTGAGAGCTGTGCCTCARTCTCCCTGGTAGGGATGCATGCACCTAGAATTTGAAATACAATTAAGAAGCCCTGTTGTTCCCCTCCACTTGAGAGTATTACACCAAGKCTGTATGGCCTGAGGTTGTTTAAAATGATGGGTTCAGATTGGTCTGTGATTGGAAATTGTTTTCATCCTTATCTATTGCCCCATTTATTAGATCAGCTGAAGCTAAAAGTTTTGCTGTGACAACTTCCCATCTATTTCCAGCTTTGGCCCACCTCTTCTGAGTTACAGCAGCTTTAGCGGGAGAAATTGSACAGTGACCCCAAATGTGATGTTGCTCTGTGAGGTATAGGAGAGCCATGGGATGCCATGAGGACTTAGCAGGGCAATAGCCCTGCCCAAACATTATTTTAAGCTCTTTCAAAAGTTTCCTTCAGCTTGGTGAGTCAGTTGGGTTTGCAGCTGCAAACAGGAGAAATCTGACAAGCATGATCAACACAGCCCTTCATGGATCATGTGTCTTATCAGGCATCTCTGGCCTCCTGATCTGCCTGGACATCCAGTTTTTTTTTTTTTTTTTTTTTTTTTTTTTTTTTTCCTTACACCCACGCAACCTTCTCTTAGCCCTTGAGTTCATCAGCCCTTTCAAAGAGCTGTGGTCACCATCAGCAGACACTTTATCCTGTCAGGAAGTTTCTTCCCACTGCATGTTAGGAAAGTCCTGTGCACTGAACAAGAAGAAAAGCTGTGAAATGGCGATGTAAGGAGAGGCAGTTCCCTTCTCATGTACACTCATTTCAAAAAAGTCAAGTTTGCTGTGTCATAAAGTCAGCGGGAGTAACGTGGTTCATTCAGTTCAAATTTTGGCTTTTCAAAACTCTTGGTACCAAAGGAACAGGAGGGCTGGTGGGATGCCAGCTTACCACCCCAGGTGAAAGCAGCACTCCTGCTCCCCAGAGCTTTCTGGGGAACTTGTGAGGGATTGCTTTGCCTCTGTTGGGCTGTGAGGAGGCACTTTAAGGTCTGTGTGAAATTAGTCACCCCAGGAGGAGTAATTTTTAAGTTTCTGGAGCTAAAAGCACAAGTCCTTGCAAGATTTAAAAGGTTGAGCTGTGTTGTTTGGAGTTGATACACTTTGCTATAAATCCTGTAAAGGGCAGGAACAATTACCATATGCTAACAGGTTATTACAAGAGCAAAACCATAAGCAATTCTTCTGTGAATCTGCATCTTAGGATATACAGAAATCAGTGACTGAGGAGCTGTGTTGGGGAGACATCCTCTAAAAAGAGAAAAAGAGTTCAGGGAAGAATGATGGATTTATTGGTGAATGAAATTGGTGTGTATTGTCTGGCAAATACAGACTCTGAAATGACAAGAAAAATGTTTCTCTCTACATCAAAAAGTCATTGCTTTAATGCTGTCCTGGTCAGAGCTAAAAAACAAGCTGTCTTCTTTTGTTCTTTTTTTTTTTTTTTCCAAATGAAGTTGCTTTTTCAGTTGTGTCAGGCTATTTTGAAACATAGCTGCTTTTCAGCGGTGAAATAGACTTTGATGCAAACAGCAGTTTCTTGTGTAAAAAAGACTCTTCTGGTATCAGTGATATAGATCCAATCAAAAGTCAAATACCTCACAGAGCAGCTTAGGGAAAAAAGAAATGTAGGAAATACTTAACTGGATCTTTTAGAACAGCTTTGTCTAAAATTAAGGAATTGGGTATGCATACTGACATGAATGCATGTAGTGCTTTAATAAACAAAGGAAAGTATGTAGGCCAGAAYATTCTAAATGCTATATGCATTTGTAAAGACCTTCTTAAAATAACTGGAGTTTTATAAATGAGCAAAGATACAACAGTGTGGAATTAAATATGCATACGTAAGCAGTGTTATAAAAAATGACACTTACATACAGAGGGTGTTACCTCCCTGTGTAAGTTGTTTGGATTAGTTTTGGGTATGTTTGCTTTTAAAACACTCAGGGAATCCACAAGCTAGTTGCTGTTAGTGCTTGCTGTTAGTGGTTTGACTTTCAAAGGACTCTAATATTCTGGCTCTGACCTTTTGCCTGCACAGATGTACGGCAACAATAACCACTCTTTGCMGTCCTTGCAGGCAGAAGATGTTCTTTTCCAGGTACGAGACTTACATATCATAAATAACCTCTGCTACAATTTGTGTGCACAGAAGCTTTTAGATTTAAAGAAAACAGATCTCAGACTTAAAGAAATCTGAGGCCATCTCTAAAAAAGATGAAGTTAATCCCTAAATCTCAGGGTAAGGGCTCAATATGTCTTTGCTGTGTTTATCCATATAAGCAGCACACACAGAGAGATAGATTTGAATACATGAAGTGTATCTGYCTGTCAATAGATAGAAATAGGTGTGTTTTTCTCTTTCACTTTCTGTGTGTGTRTGTATAAACGCATGCACAATAACAAGTCAGTCATAGCTCCCTTTGTACATAAAGATTAATGCTTTATCTTCATCTTATTGTTCACACAGTCTAACACACATTACAGGATAATATCCAAATATCAATGAGAAGTGTACACATTTATTTCCAGAATATTTAGGCAGAAGAAATTTCATTTTTAAGATCAGAGCTGTAATCTGAAGGAAAAAAAAAAAAAGAAAGCTGTTTTAGTAAGATACTAAGGGAAACAAATGGCTGCATTAAATGGGGTTGCAGAAGGGGAATGTCCCCCCTCTACAGGACCACTGAGTCAGCCAGTCCTGCTGCTGTCAGACCCAGTGGAGGAGAGCTCAGGGGATTCTGACCTGCAGGAGGGAATTGAGAAGGTGGCTGTGGTTCACTTGGCTTCAGAGCCTGCCCTCTGGTTGGTCTGGAAGCAGTGTAAGTGGTGAAAAATGCAGACAGAACAGATGACCTTGTGACTGTCCCGTGTGTGTTTGGTGGCTTTGGGGAAGACATGAAGGGAAGGCTTCAGCAGCCTCTGGGTGTGGTTTCARGTGGCAGCAAAAGACCTCAGCAGCCTGCATTAATTGCTGGTTTTAATACATGGTGACATTATGCACAGACTGGTTTGACRAGTTCTGACCTGCAATCTTTCCATTGTTGGTAGCTTATCCCAATGGGAAGAAGGGTCTCTTCTCTTTCAAAAAAGCCCAAGGCCAAGCCAGCTCTAAGGAAACCAGTGAAAGATGCAATCACGAGGTTCACTGTGAATGAATGAGAGACAAATTGCTGCCAGCAATATCCTTTATTAGCTTATGAAGTTATTAAGTAATGAGTTGAATAGTACATTGTTTAAAAAATACATGTTGTAATATGAAATGAAGAATATGATTTAGATTTCAGTTTTATTSAGAAAATCTCCCAAGAGTAACATGGAAGGAAGAGGCTCAGCCCTGCTTTGACAAAGGAGAAATGAAACACAGGGCATTTGTGGTGGCTGCGGTCTGTCAAACCTGGCTCAGCTTCGGACACAGGATGCCACTGCTTGCATTTTGTATGGTTATCTCCCTAGGAGGGGCATTTACCAGTTGGAAGTTTCTGTGCCAGTTGCTGTGCATGTGACATGCAGCAGAAGCAGGATTTAAAATCATCCTTTTGAGTACTTTTGGTTCCACTCCAGCTACACAGTTCCTTAAATGCTGTGCCTTGCCACGTGGTGAACCATAAAACCACGTGGACTATCCCATGACTAGAAAAGACAGAGTTTGTTCAAGGAAATCAGTCACAAACTAAGGAAGATGTGTGACCAGCACTTCCCTTGAGAACAGTCACTTCCTGAGAAAGCTTTTTGCCTCTTTATGTCCCTTAGGGTACCAAGAGCTTCGTAGGACAGTCTCAGGCCACCTTAAACTGCCAGCTCACTTCACCATATGATCTCCTGGATTACTTCACCACCTTTCATCCTTCTGGCTGGAACAATGGTGCATGTATAATGCCAAGAAACCTTATCTAATTGGAGGTGGGAGGATGTAAAGGACCTCTGGGCAATGGGAGAGATAATAAATAGTGAATATGCCTCTTCCACCCCTTACARTAATTCTGGCTGACAGAAGAGGTAGCAAGTCCTGTGTGGGTTGCATCTGATGTTTTTTTTCTGAAGATAAGGCATTTCCCCTGCCTCAACTGCCTGTCTGGCTTTCTGCAGCAAAGACTCTCAAAGGAACAAGGGCAGAAYGTAATTGCTTAAAGATGCAAGAAAGCCTCTCAGAACCAGATCAGCTCTTGATCCTCTGTAGGTGATACTACTCTGCTGTCCCAAGTTGCCCTGCACAGATATATATAAAATCTTCAAGATTATCRTAAAGAGCTTTTGTTCCTTACTATCAAAGGGACATTTGGATACCATCTCTTATGGAATGGTACTTGGCTCTAATTTAGCTGCCTTATAATTGGCATGACTAGGATGTCTGGTATCTCATCAGGGAGAACTGTCTGTAGAGTAAGGGTGCTTGATACCTTCATTAAAGTGTCTGCTTTATGAAAAATATTGTAATAATATCAGCCTCCAGACATATCACTGCAGGACTGGGAACCCTCTTGTACCAGACAATGCACAGTGAAATAACAGCAAGATGAATCCTAAATTCATGAGGATGATAGAGAAATGCAAGCACAGGTAGCAATAAGACCATAACATGTAGTGCAGTAAACAGAGCCTGGGCATTGYAGTCATTTTGTCAGTGTGGATTTAAAGCTCCTGTGGTGTGACAGGGAAAATGGGAGAAAACACAAAGGGGGATTTGGAATCACAGCAACTAAGGTGTGCATCTCTAGCAGCATCAAGGCAGAAGCCAGGTTCTCAGTATCATCAAAAAGTGTGGGTGGATTGAAAAGGACCTTTAGAATAAAGGCTTTAGAGTTTTTGAGCAGCAAGACATTACAGATGGTGAAAGAAGGTAAGGATGTGGTGGAAGAGGGTKCCAGTGGTGGTGTGTCTGCAGTTGTACAGCCAGAGAGCTGTTCCTCAGCTCTGAGGAACACTGGACATCACCTTTAGTGGTGGCAGCTGATCTGTACCRCAGGAATGCTTTGGGAACAGATGAAGGGTAGCACCTGGTTTTACTGGGAATGCACTAATAGGTCCTTCCCAAACAGTCCACCACAGTGGTGTGGATGGGTGCAGATGGGTTTAGGAGCATGGCTTACAAGCAAAGGAGAGAGTGTGATGGCAGATGCATTAGCAGACTTCACATAATTTCAACATTGTGGGTTTACTTATGAAGATCCTAATGAAATTTGTCCTAAGATACTTAGAGAAGATGGGCTAGTAATCCTTGACTTGCTGGCTTATCTTGGAGAGCTGTGGAAGTTAAGGGGCACTGACTGATGTGTACAGTAAACCGCTCCCGGTGAGGTGATGCAGTCCTTCCATGTCAGCTGATGCTAACTCCATGTCATCTCAAATGCCAGTTCTGAGCATCATATTTGAAGAAGATTTGAACCAAACTAGGACAATTCCTACAAGAGTGATAGAGAGAATACAATTAATCAGAAAAGTATAAAAAAAATAGGGAAACATGGTCTTCAAATGCATAACAGGCTGTTGCAAGGAGACTATGAGTAATCTGCTCGTGTCCATAGTGTGTAGGAGAAGTAGTTAAGGATTTAAATTAGAGCAAGGAAGATTTAACTTACCCAACAGGCTAAAAAAAACATAGAAAAAAAAGAGCTGTGCCATGGATATGTTGCCTAGGGAGACTCTCAGGCCTCTCCTGTCTTTGGAGAGTTAGATAGATACTTTGTGAGGAAACAGTTTCCTTTGTGAGGAAACAGTTTCTATGAAATTGATCTTTCAGCTGATCTTGCCTTGCAGTTGAAGGATAGACTACATGACATACTGAGATCTCTCTCAGCCTTATTCTTTATCATCCTGTAAAATGAGATAAAAATGAAGCAAGGAGAGCCAGTGGAAAGCAAAAAAAGACAGTGATGGGAAAAAGATGGGAGGAACAACTGTTGTCATATGAAGATGGGGGTTAGGTGGGATGCAGAGAATTGGAGTAAGATGCTGTGCAGAAGGGAGGGAAGCTCCTTAAGTGTTCAGGAGCCCTGTTTTAGCTGTGCATTTGCACAGCTGGACTTCTGGCTTGTTTCTTCTAGAGGTTTTCCTGCAAGATTGCATGAGGTGAATGTGAAGGAAAATGCAGGCATCAGCTGACAAAACATCTTGCTTTGGCATTACTGCAGGGGGTTTTTCTCTTTTTCATTTTTTAGCTGACATTGGCTTTACAATATTTTCTAGTTCAAATAACTACTGTCTCTCTGGTGAGGTATAAAATGACTTGAGAAGATCCCTGAGCAAAGTAAGTTTGTTGGCTTTCATAATACGCCTGTGTTGGCAGACTCCAGCTCTTGAGAGAGCATCATCCCTTTCATCTCCTATGTCTTCATGAGGCACCTGAAATGGGGCCTCAGAGACATTTGCCTGCTTTCCTGATCAGGGCCACATTCTGCTGAACTAGACCACAGCTCTCCAGAAATGTGTCTGAGAGCTCCACAGGGTCCTGTGCCTGGCTCTACATCAGCAGAGCAGCTGAGCCCCGAAAGAACTCTAGGGCAGTAACCCTTTCTGGCTGAGTCTTCCTCCTCCCAGGTCCCTGACCAGGATGCTGACTAGATAGCAAACTTCTCCTAAGAGCAGGACCACACTTGATTTGAGCATGAGAAGCTTAACTTCTGCTCTGAAAGAGCCTTCTGTAAATTTTGATATATCAGTGGCCAGAAATGGTTGGGAAAGGTAAAATCAAACTTCCTGTGTCTGAGATTGTTAGTCCTGTTCTTATTCCTCTTAAACTACACAGAAATATTGGATTAGYTTGAAAACTCAGTTTTGCGTTCAGTGTGAGTCAAAAATTGAGAACTGGGGGAAGATGGAGCCAACAGAGCTGCTGATGCACTTCTCTTGACCGAGTTCTGTTCAGTGACTAGATAGGATTTCCCATCACAGAATATTTGAATACAGGGTATTTCTCTTGCCCATAACCCTTGATACTGCATGTTGTTAGGTAGCAGTTGTGAGGTCAGCAGGGTTGCACTTTTGACTTTCTTCTCCAGAAATTGTTTTTTGTGWCACTGAAGTCTCAGTTCTGGTTAAGCACGATGGAAGTTCTTGGCCCCAGTGAAGAGCATGCTCAGTGTCAGCAGGCCTAAGTCAATGTAAATGTCACATCAGAAGACCAGGAAGTCATTCTGTGGTTTTAGCAGGATTCTGTGTGCTCAGACACCACAGACTGCACAGGCACCCATGGCACTTGCACAGTGCTGGGAGCAGGGGTAGGGGGTGGCTGGAAGGCAGGAACCAGACTAAGGCACGGGCTGCTGCTCCATGGGCATAAGGAGAGCAGGAGCCAAGGGCAGCCACACTGGGGAACAGGCTGCCTTTGCAACACCACAGTCCCTCTGTGTCCACCTTTGATTTGGCTGCTGCTTGTCTCTAAGATACCAAGGAAGAGGGAGCAGAAGGGGCAGACCTTGGGAAATTGGTAGATTAATGAGGTTTGATTCATGTTTCTRCATCTGCCTCATGTGAGGGCAGTGACACTGTGACTCCAGCTGAACCAAGATGCAAAGCATTTCCCCACCAGTAGAATGATAACTTAAACCTGTGAGCACAGGAAAATTGCTTTCTGGAGACCAGACTAAACAGAATTCCTATTTATCCAGGCTGGTTTCATATCCTGGGACCAATCAGCATATTGAGGAAGTATGAGCTGAAGCTGATTACAACTCTTTTTCCTATAACCATGTACATAAATAATCTGTCAACAGAGAAAAGTGTGCCTTCTCCCGTGGCTGCTGGAGACTCTGGAAGAGATCCCGACACTCCTACAGAACCAGCCTGGATTTCCATTGCAAGGCAAAAGCAGAGGGGCATGCAGCAGGAGAAGGAACTCGACAGAGAAAAGCTTGTGGCTCCAGATAATAAGTCAAACACAGAGAAACAGAATAAAGGAAAGGAACAAACAGAGGTACTTGCAGTACAAATCTCTGATGCTTTCGTATCACCTCCTGTAATATTCTTTGGATCTACTGCTGTGTTACCAGTCATGCCATAATGACTACAGATACTTAATSAGTGTAACTATAAGTAACAAGGACACTGCTCTCATATATTTAGATTCAGAGTTCTCTGTTCAAATATGTGATTTCGTATTTCAAAAAAATCCTGGAACTATGTGAGATGTGTAAAACTTCTTGGCATGCCTACCAGATCTAACATGTGGATTGCATGCTAAAATATCCAAAATGAGGTGCTAAACTGTAGTCTCTGCTCTTTCTCAATGCAGAGGAAGTATGTTCTCTTTAACTACCCTTCTAAGCACAGCCTTTCATTGAACCTCTTACACCTCCTGACTGATTTAACACTGAATGAACAGCTTGGTCCCAGAAGCTTCTAGGTAACAATTTTTAGAGCCTTGAGAAGTGAAATAGAATAAAAATAACTTCTGCATTTGCAGAGAGTGCCAAGATATAAATTCTAGTTCCCTGTATATGGATAATTCAGAAGACCATGTGGTGCCGTGGAATATGGGCTGACACTGCCTCTTCAGAGATCCCATGCAAAACCTGTAGCAAATGATCTTCCCAGATGACAAAGCTGTGACAGCAGAAGTGCTTGGCATGAATCCAGAACACTGTCCTGCTGCCTGCTTTGCATCCTGCACAAATAAGAACCATGCTCTGATGCAGGTGCATGTGTGTCCTACACCAGTATACCATTCCCAGGGCAAATGGCCTATTTTCTTGCTTCAGGTGGTATTGCTAGAACTCCTGACAAGTGTATTATATCCTGGAATAACGGAAGATTTCTAAATGACGAGAAAATAGCAGTGGTTAAATTAACAAGAAATAACACCTAATGAGATATGTAGGCAAACTTCTGAACTGCAGTAATGCCCAACATAATCCTAAAATACAGTTTCTATGTCAGAACAGGAAACTCCAGATTTTAGCTGGCAATAATCCCTGAAAATCCTGCCATGCGTTTTATTTCCCTATAGCAGCTAACAGAGAAACATGCCAAGATGCTTCTGACTGCAGCATGTGAGGCTTGGTGCCACTGTACTACTCCCACTTTCTCTTTCTCCCACATGGTGCCAGGCACTATCACTTCAGGGTAGTTTTTGATACTGGCAAGAAAATCTATTGGAGGATGTGTTTGATTTCTCTTTATAAAAAAAAAAAATCCATTTACCATCAACTGTCCAAAAATACAGTGCCCTAGCCCACAAAATTTGGGAGACGGATGAGAGAATGAGGCTGTTTCCAAATCCTATGTGTGCTAGTAGAGATGAGCAAAGGACTTCAAATACATTTTGCCGTGGAGACTATAATTATCTTCTCGTACCATTATGAATAARAGATAGAGAGGGATAGTTTTAATTTGTAAAATTGAGTAGTATCATGGATGTTAACATGAAAACACCTGAACTTTCTGAACAGGTATCAGCTCAAGGGAGAGGATTGGGATCAATGTCTGCTGAACTGTGGCAGGCACCCCATCCACTACCTTTGCTCAGGTTCTTCCAAACTGAACTCAATCTCCCTGCATTACTTGGATTTTCTCCCTCTCTGTGTCTAGGGGTCAGTGAAGCAACAATGGAGCAAACCTTCACACTTGGCACCTAAAACCGCCTCTGAAGAGCAGAAGAAAGACACGAAGTCTGAAGTGAAGCCCCTGCTGAGAACYAATTCACTGTCACAATATGTCCCCGGTAAGAAAAAAAATCCTTAAAATGTAGGCTGTTACCTCATAACCTTGTCAGAAGAAATCCTGATTGAGTGTGCTGCAAAAGGAGTAGGGACTAGATCTTAATCTGTTCCTTAGCCCCACATCAGCCAGGGCAAACAGTTTTCTCAGCACTCACATGTGGGGTTTTATTTGGTGCCATGTTCTTTTGATCAGTTTAATTACAAACAAAAGATTAACAAGGGGTAGCCAAAAACTAATGTTGAAAGAACACTAGTTGAAAGAAATGTGAATCAAGAATTCCTGGCTCTTTCACAGGATGGAGGCCCAAAAGCACTATTCCAGTGTAAAATGTAAGCAAAAATATTTCCAATAGCATTTAATTTAAATGTGGCTTCCTCAGCAAGCTGGAATGATGTGATCACAAACTGTCTGACCATCAGTCCTCCCACAGTGAGTTTGCTGTAAATCTCTTTGGTAAATTAAAATTTGAAAGAAGGGCAGAAGTTTTTAAGTAAAAAAAAATCCTGTGAGTTGGGGGCTGAGTAAAGGAGGAATTCACAAGTGAATACTTTGGCTAATGAAAAGACTCTCTCTTCTTTGGCCTGGGTGTTAACTTAGGGCACAGTAAGGAATCCAGGCCATCATGTTGAGTTTTGGTAAATTTAGGGATCAAAAGATATTAGTGATGAGAAAAACATTGTATTATTTAGAGCAGAGTGGTAATTTCCTCACTGACTTACTGCAGAAGAAGGTTCCATGTGAAATGTGAAGATTTCCTACCACAGAGCCAGGCATGGGAAGATTTTAATAAAAGAGGGTGTTTAGTTGCACAGCAAGTAAGTGTTAAATGTCTATGTGTTTTATTCACAGTAGCTCCATCACCTGCACTGGTGGATAAGGAGGAAATAAGCCACTTGAAAAAAGCCAGCAATGTTGCTCCAGACCAGCCATCATGGATGGAGCTGGCCAAAAAGAAATCTCAAGCTTGGAGTGATATGCCACAGATTATAAAATAGAATGATGCAAACAAGTAGCATCTTTCATTATTAAGTCAACTACTTAACTGAACTCCTGCAGACCAGCTAATCACAGTGAAGAATCTCTTGATACAGAAGGGTTTTATTGTACAGCTGTGGAGAAAGAAAGTGTGCAATAGGTGCAGTCAAAAAGTTTACCTTCAATTTTGTAGCAATCAGAATTGYAATGGCAATGGATTACTTAAATTATGCTAAGGGTATACTTACACTTTGGAAAATAAAACTTTTGCCTTACATATTTCGTGCATTTTCTGCTTTTAATGATGTTTGCATCCAAACAGGATCTTTGCTAAACTTTACTGARCTTCCGTTGTTGCTGGAAAATTCTATTTGTTATGGTTTTCTCTGTTTACATTTATAAATTGTGCACTTACATCCTGATTCTGTTGATGTGTTTCACTGGAACCATGTGACACACTTTCTACCAAACTGTTAGGTCCACAGAGATATTTGTGAATAGCTGCTAGTGGGTAATCCATTAAAATGTTTGCCTAGCTGAGCCACTGGTACAGTTTCTGGGTTAGATTGCATTTCAGGAGGCACAAATATTCACATTTATGTGTGACCATGAAAAAAAATTCTTCAGTTCTTTCTGGAAGCAGCCTTGGTTGCACAATGCTTGCAAGCAGGCAAAGGAAGRAAGGAGCAATATGGAAACTGAACTGCAGTTGGAAACTCATCAATGCATTCACAGTTGCTTTCCTGCCTGAATTCATCTGGCTGCAGCTGGCTTTCCTTTCTGTGAATCCTCATGCCCAGTCACGAGGGTGGCATTAGTAACAATGAAGTATGAATTATTATGAATTTAATTAAAAACTAAGAACTGTAAATCCTGGAGCTAAAGTCCAAATTGAAATGCTGGGGAAAACTGCAAATTTCATCACAGCATCAGCTTCACATATCACCCCCCACATAATCTTAATTCTTCTCATTAAAAACCAGTAACATACAGACAGCACGTCTGWACTTGACTGCCTTTACATAACGTCCTCATGCTCATTGGCCTGAGTCTCCCCCACCAGTTTGTGACTCCCACTCATGAAGTCTCCTAGGCTCTTCACCTTCGCTTGTTTAACAAGATTGACAAGATAAATTATTTGCTGCTGATTGACTGAAACGACTCTGAACATATTTTAAGACCTTCCTACGAGTTACAGAAGCAAAGGACCTGTCATGTCCCACTGCCAAGACAAGCATTTTGTWTTGTGTGTGCACAGGTGAAGCACTACTCTAGCACTGCAATCCCTAGRTTTATTTATGTTTATATTTGTGATTTTGTTTTTCTTGTCACATTACATTCCCTTTGGAAAAATGTAGAGASACTTCAGAAAACATAGGATTTTCTAGCACCTGTGTTTGCAATTTTGAAACTTTGTCTTCTCTACAAAGGTGGGAAGGAAAACCCAAGCCCTCTTGGTAATGATAACTGCATTCAGTAATGAAAAAAGAAACAGAGTTGAGGACGTGAATATGCAACACACTGCTAAAGGTTTTCAGTTGGGTTGTCTTTCATTGTTAAAAACAGGAGGAGGGAAAACTAATTTTATGTTTGTCAAAGCCTAAGGACAGAGCCAGCCAGCCTGCACTGCTGTGGGGATCAGCCTGCACGGCTGCTGGGGCACAGACTTGCTGCAGCCCATCACAGAGCTCCAGTAGTCCCAACCCAAACAGGGTTCTGCCAGCTGTCCCAGGGTTTTCTCCATCCTGCAGACAGGCAGTGTGAGATACCCGCTGAAATCACAGGTGGCAAGACAGATCTCTGTGCAACAGATCCACACCAGAAATAGAAACTTAATTACAGGGCACACAACCTTGGGCTCAATTGCCCGAAGGTTGGTTGTGCAAAAATCTTTCACACTTCTCCCCCAACAGCAAGCATGCACAATCCTTAATCTCAAGTGATATTTTTTCTTTTTCTGGTGTTCATATTCTAGGACCTACAGTAGAAATAGGCGCATTTTTCAGATACAATAAAAACCATCTTAACTCACTCTCTTTTCTAAACACCCWTTCTGAAATAAATAGCTAATTAGCATAAAGTGTAATTTTAAGACATGCTATTACCTTTTGTAGCAATCTTGAAAAAGCCCCAGTTCCTCTATTAAAGGAATATAACATGCAAAAAAAGGACCAAATTTGTACCCTCTAATTATTGCTACCCCATGAAAAGGTTTTCAGGAAATGTAGTTAAAGGTACATTCTGCCTCCTTACAATTCCCTCCCTGTTTAAAACAATCAAAATTGTGTTGAATCATGACTGAATTCCTGGAGCATGATCTGTGCTGCTCTGTGGGGAAGAGTACAAAATCTATTGGACTATCTCCTGTTTTCATAGACAGATGCTCAGGAATCATGGAGATGAAAGGCAGAGGAACATCTTTGCCTTTTACAGAGATGAAAGGCAAGACCTGTAAAGGGGAACAAGCCCTGTGTCTAACTCCCTTGCAGACATGTCAGGGAGAGAAGGTGAGCTCTTCATGGGGCGCAGACCTACTCCTGCTGTGGCATTTGTGGTCTAGATTTGAGAGCACACCAAGGTGAGAAGCATTGGCTGCACATCAGCCTGTGTTTGCCAGTGACTGTGACATGATCCAGGTATTGCCACCTTACAGTTTCTGCTGGTTCCATGTGCTTTCAGGTTTCCAGGGCCAAGTGGGTGACAATGACTGCTGTGCATGGTGACAGCCAGTGTTGTGGATTCCTACGAGCCCATAAGCAACTTTCATCTGACCTTTGGATAGACTGCAACCCCACAGGCTGCTCAGACCTACCTGAAACAAATTCAGGATCTTGATCAATTCTGCCATAATTACAGACCAATTTAAGTGTCTCAAAATATTCTTCAGAGTAACACTAATATTATGTGCTTCTTTTCATATAATGTATAATTACACTGGAACTGATTGCCACAGGATGTTGTAGACACCAAAGATTTAGTTGGCTCCAAAAATCAAATCAGTGGAAGAAAAATCCATTAAGTGCAGCTCAACACAAAAGCTAGGGCCTTGGTTTGGGAGATTGTGAAAGTCTTTGGGAGGCGGTATCAGTGATCTTCTTCATATTGTYTTACCACTGCAATAGCCTTGGCCTTTGTGCAAGAGAAGGCATTTGTCTACTCAGACCTCTATTTTCTAGGCAGAAAATAGTTTTGGAACTCGTGTAYTTTTCTTTGGTGAAATGGCTCATTTGTGGCGATAGAAAGATGCAAATACAAATAGAGTTCTTCCCTCTGTATGAACTGTGAGTTAYGTTTCACACTCGATGCCACCAGAAAAGCCTTTCAGATCTGATCACCTTTCCTGAGGACATCATTATACTTTTCCAGCTGAGAAGCAATATGACTAACTCAGGCTGATCCATTTTGCTCAGGCAGCTGCAATATATACTGCTGGAATGGAACATCTAACAGGGAAATAAAATGTAAAAATTCACCTTTTGTTCATGACTCATGCACATAAACTAATGGAGTTGGAATTACAGTCAAACAACAACAAAATGGACTTGAAAAATAGAAGTTTTCTCTCCCAAAAGTGCTGCATGAGACATCTTTGGCTTTCTCTTTAATGGGAGAGGTGCCCTCCCAACAGTAAATGACCTTACATAATGCAAATGAAATAGTCTTATCAGGCATCTTTCAGTGCAAAACCCCTAAATTTGATGATTTATGCAGTTTACTAGTTGGATTACCCTAATCAGCTACCTCCCAATGTTTAGTAATTTTATGTAAAAAAATTGCAACTAAATGTTTTCAAATGGACAGTGAAGTGCAATTTTTTAAGGCCAAAATACCGCCTTAGTCTTTACTTTGATATGCTGTTCGGCACTGTGCTGCCTTTGACAGTAAATACTGTTGCATTTTTTTTCAAAATGAAGAGGAACATAAACTCCTGTTGCCAGTGAAAATATCCAGCAGCAGTGTAGCAAGCAGCTTGCTGCAATTTTGCAATGTTATTAATTCCCTCTTAGTCTCAAGGAGCACAATAAACTTGCCAAAATGTTTGCTTTGTATACATGATGAGCCCTCTGCTGTGGGTAACAAAGGTTTAATTACAGGATTTTGTGTTTGTGGCTAGAAGATAACTTTTGCACTGTTACAGAGTCAAAAAGAAAAAAAAAAGGCAATGTGAACAATGAGCAGTGCTGMGTGTCTGTAAAAACCCCAGGGGGGATTGTAACCTTGTGTGATCCTGCACAATGGGGGCTGCATGGGATTAACTCTTGTAGGAGAAGACACTTCAGCTCCAGTGGGACGCTGAGCTCAGGCTCACTCCCAGTGTTTGCCAAGATGCTCAACAAGTGACAGAAACCATGGAGTTTKTATAGTATGGGATCTTTTATTGTCTGATTTCACAAAATAAAAGCCACGTATAGATTTTTTATGGATTATTAGTCCCAGATAATTCTCTGCATCATGTTTCACTTTGAAGCTGGGGACTGATGGGACACATATTCACAGATCATTCTGATCTTCTTCCTTTGCARTATCATGCAGCACCTTTGCTGCAGATTCTAACTCTCTGTGTACACTGGCTGTATTCCCAGAAGAAAACCACTCTAGCTCACTTAAGGCAGCTTAAATGGAGATCATTCTGGGAAATGCTGAACTATATCCCTCTCCGGGATCCCAAATCTCTCTCTTAAGAATTGTTCAGAATGCAGCTAAGAGYGTATAAGATATTGCTGAAGCAAAGTGATTGAGGTCAATTTTCCTTCCTTCCATCTCACACACCATCACACCAAGTATTTTCATTGTTGATTTCTTTTTGCTTTGCCTATTTACCTATGCAAATAAGTATGAAATAATGTATTTTGCAGGTTCATAATTCTATCGAAGTCTATTCAAGGTTGCTGAGCCCAGTACTGTGGTATTTTAACTCATTGTAACATGTAGTCCCCATTTTTTTTCCCAAATATGGTTTGATTTCTCAAGTTTAGAATTGACATGTAAATTATTACCCTGCCTTTGAGAGTCAGCTCTTCCTGAGAACCCTCTAATTAAAAAAAGGAAAAAGAAAGAATTCTCTGTTCACCGTCTACTGAAAAATGACACTTTGCACCAGTGGGTCCTGCAACAATTTCCAGCACATGGCTTTTACATTGTCACTTGTCACCCATGCTGGTAGCTCTGGAACAACAAGGCAAATGGGCCATCCATGCTGCTCTTGGGACAAACAGGTGGAAAACCATGGCCCCGTCAAAGATGGTGAGGAGGTAGAGAAATCTGGCAAGACCCTCCAATTGCCCGCCACGGTCTGTGCTGCCCTCCCCAACCAGCAGCTGGTAACAGACTACGTTGAGATGAGGCCAACAGTGTTTACRCATCTCTGGGCTCCAGTTCCAGTCATGGGACTGTTTGTGCAGGTGGCAGTCCAAGGTGTTGTGAAGATTCCAGCACACTGCCCCAAATTTAACAAGACACGAGGTCTTTGCCTACACTGAAGGACCAAGAAGAACTGTCTGGAAAAAGCAGAGGAAAACAACCAGAGTTATGACAAG